GACGGCTTCGCGGATTTCATGTCCAGTAGAGGCGCTCACTTCCTTCTTTTCAATGGATCGAAGCGCCACAGTCAGCAGTGGGGCTGAAATGGGTGTTGACCATTCCGCGTCGCTTGCAGCCAGTAGGCTCCGTCTTCTTCTCGTTTGTGTGGCGTCCGGGAGCGGCCGCTCTTGGTGATACAGTTCCTTCGCATTCCGCGACGCAGCCGAGACTCTGCTCCGTGCGATGTAGGCTGTTCCGCCTCCCGTGATCCCGTGTTCCACCGTCTCCATTTACATTCCGGCCATGGGTCTTGTTGCCCCGCCGGCTGATGTGGGCTGCTGTCAACCTATGGAAGCGGCATGAACTACGCTCTAAGCCGGTTTAGTGCCTCGAGGAATGACCGGTTTCCCCCAATTGCAGCCGCTAGTGCACTGAACGCATGCTCCATGTCCTTAGGTGGTGGTGCCTGCGTTTGTCGGTATTGCGTTGAAGGGGTTACTTGTAGTCGTCCATCATTGAGAATATATTCGGCTCCGGGTGGCCGCTGCTGTTGACTGAAGCTGGTCATTTCCTCCCTGGAGGTAGCTAGCGGGGCGGTAGTGGGTCACCACTGGAGCAGGGGTTACCCAAGGCCAGGGCTGGTGCAGCCCGCAAGGGGCTGCACCACCCCTGGCCTCGGGCTGGAAATAAGCATGTCCGAAGTGCTCAACTTCATCCCCCTCCTCCACTCCAACTCCAATCCTCGACGATTTCGCTGTCGTAACCTCCGGTCGTGGGTTCTAACAGTGCGCCAAAAGCTGTCCCATCCAATCACAGTCTAGTTAGAATTTCATTGGGTACGGCCCCGACACACTCTCAACCAATAGGACGGGCAAAACCACCAGGAGGCCAAAAGGTCATCTCCCAAGGACAGGTCCCACGGCTAGAGTCCATACATTGAGACACGAGCTCTGGTTTGTTTATTGTCGAAGATAATAAACTGACTCTAATGACTCCAGCGAGCATCGCAAGGCGGGCCTCACTGGGAAAACCGTCCCTCGGAGTGCTAGCATAAGGTACGTTAAAACCAATAGATGAACGGAGAACTTGCCAGATACAACTCACACGGGTCTCGCGAACACAAGCGCAGCGAAAGGTCACACCGGATACCAAGAATACGTGTACCACCCCTGGGGGTTCCCCGGAAGTGGCGTTTACGTCTGTACGTAAAACTCTAGTGCGCTCGGGACCCCCGCAGCCAGCCCCACAACCACTGGAACCTGATCCCCGGTCTATGCCGGTGCGGCCTGCGCCTGAGACCCGCGTCCACGGCACCTCGACCAGTTTATGAAACGGCCTGCCTGTTGATAAGTGCGCTTACGAATTTTGCTTCCTGTGTAGTTTTGTGTGTCTGGATTCAACGGCCTCTGGGTTAGGGGGAAGACTCACGGGCAATGACCCGCTGTGGGAAAGACGCAACCTCGCTGTTTGTGGAAACACTATAGGTTCAACGTGTACTTGAACTTAAAAACAATTTGTTTAAGCAAAACGCCGTCTCGGCGGAGCGCAAAAATACGACCACATTTACAGGTATGTTATTTGTGAAATACATGCAACTTTTTATTATAAGTCACAGTGGCAGATTCACCAGGTGTCACACAACCCTTGATAACCCAAACTTGCTCAAAATTTTGCCAACTCCTTCTCGTAACTCGCCTTAAAATCACAACTTCACTTAAAGGCCGGCTCACACACTGGCGACTGCTTACAACCGAGTGCCTTAAAACATCGTAAAATGTCCTATACGACGAGAGTACGCACTGCTGCCATCAATCGTGTAACACTTAACATTTCCACCTTTTTTCGCACCAATATTGTTTCATGGCTTCAAGAACTTAGAATGTAATAAACTACCATTTCTCATCGAGAGCACGCAAATATAATCTCGCAGATGCTGCAAAATCTTCGCTCTAGTAAAATGCATTTCCATGGTCACCTCACAGATGGCGCAAGTGTGTTTTGTGTTTTCTCGTCGTAAGAAAAACACACACAAACGAAAACTTGGTCGTAAGCTAACTTAAGTGCTTGAGCGGACCTTCAAACGCTGTCAACAATAACGTAGCAGCTATAGCGACTTAAAACGTATGCCGGGTTTACGGCAGATGTTACTTTAACCGCCGTGTGACGGGCACAGAAGGAACATATTTGTTCCTGCACACTGTTGCTAGTCTTATTACGTTTCCGCCATACCTTTTATATGATCTGCCCCGCAATTATGAAAATAATTCATCGGCCAAAACTGTTTTATACCTACCTTTTTCAGTCAATTTCTTAGACTTGTAAAGACTCGTGAATTTTTAATGTTTCTTAGGCAGTTGCAAAACATCAAAACGCAATTGTTATCATGATGGACTACCATTTAATTAAGGGCATCGTAATTAAACCTCGTTGTGCTAATTCTACCAATAGGGTACTAAAAGGCAGCCTCAGTGAGAAGCAGCAGCTCAATTTATTTAAAGCTTAACACCTATTTTTTCCCCATCGGGAAATCTCCTCTCGAGGCTTTCGCGCTTGTTTTTAAGATAAATTTCAGAAAAGAAAACAAGAAACGGGAAAGGTGGAAACTGATTGGAGGTAGCTAGTTCATCTTAAATGTAGCCTATAGTTTTATACGTTTGTTTCTTGCTTTTTTATATCATGTCATTCACATCGAAAGAAAAGAATAACATATCATTTAATCTATATTCGATGCTGCCATGGTTTAACGGGTTAATTAATTTACCAACTCCCGATACCATATAGTAAAACACGTCTCGAATAATGTCTTTATTAGAACGAACGGGTTTTGCTTCGTACCAGAGAATGACGTTTGACATTTGGTGCTGCAACCATGTTTCCAACAACCATGCGTAATGTGCTGCGGTTAGGGTAACACCTGCTCAGTCAATTCAACCTTTTCGTTCGCCATAAAAAAATCAAGAAAAAAATGGCAACAGATGGCATGATCACAAATGTTCTGGTCGACAAGTCGTATTAAACTTCAAAACACTATATTGGACGTAAATATCACTAGTGCATACAGGAAGAAAACGCGTGATTTCTTTAAAGGTGAAACGGCCTCCCTCACACACCGTGCGATTTGCTACACATCGTGTTTCTCGTGCTTACGGCGTATTAGCGTGGTTTCTTCGAAGCGGCGGACCAATTTCGACGTGAAAAAGAAATTGGAATAAGTAAGCTATTTTTTGACGATACGTGCACTATTGTACTCCCCGAGAGCTTTCATAAGATACATAGCAATTCATAAAAAAGGAGAATGGTGCTTTCTAACATGCCGTAGATAGCGCGGTGCAAAATTAAAAAAATGCAAACGGTTTTTTTAATTAAGATTTTGAAGTAGACGATTACGTTTTTTAAGTACACGATAAGGGCGATGGCAGGAAGCTCTACCGGGCAAGGTACCGATGGTCCGCGGCACTACGTTCTAGCCCTGGACGTCAATGCATCGGGGGTGACAACCATCTATTTCGACTGGGCAACCTTCTGGAGCCGGAGGGAACTCATACCTTTTCGCACCATCCTTCCGCTGCGTGTGAACCGGCGCTGTGGAACTCGAGTAGGAACTGCGCATTAGCAGAGTAATTTAGTCGAGGCGGATGCCTTTCGCAGTCAGATTGTATGCGCAGAGGGATTTTGAAAAAAATATTGCAATGCCTCCCTCCACCCCCCCCCCCAAGAAGAAAACAAAAGCAAAAAATATATACATAATTTTATACTTAAAATTACTGCGCCACGTCTCACATAGCGTATTATTTTGATAGAGAGGACTGCTCGTTAAAATCCCCAATCAAATGCTTTGGGTAGAGTAGTGTTCGGCGATTTTGCCAGCACTGTCCGTGTAATTGAAATAGGTAATATTTTACTTTTAATTTTGTAGTTTAAAGTAGCTAAAATTGAACTTCATGTTAAGCGCGCGCTCGAGCCTTCGTTTACAAAAGCGGAAAAGAAACGTTTTAAACTTCGTACCGCGTTTATAACTAAAAGGAAAAAGCAATGAAAAAACAGTCATCGATAGTGTTTTTTTTTGGCTTCTCTTGCTTTTATTTGTCATAAAATATCCATATCTACTACCAAACATACAAAGATTGTAAAAAAAAAGTCTTACTACAAAGCTTTTTTGTTACGTTCTAATAAAAAAAATGTTCAAGGTGTTTGATTTTTCTTGGAAGATGGTTCTAGAAAATAAAATAAGGTGAAAGTTTGACGGGCGCCGTCTTCGACATCTACTTGTCAGGTTCGGATGACGGAATAACCGTCAAGGTAAGCCGACTAAATTACTAAAATGTGTTCATTAAGTTCCCAATGAATATATTTATCGGTCATGCTGCAATTGCAATACTGACGGAAAGCTACTATCAGAGGCCAGAACAATTACAATAATTTGCGACGAAGGTAATAGCATTTTTTAAATATTTACCATTCAGTTTTCGCATTTCTTTAGATAGATTTCCACATTGTGCGCATTAAGACATCCGCAAGCCCTGCCAACAATGACGCTTAGAAGACGACGTTGTCCTTTCAGCCACGTCGTTGCTACACTGGCAGTGTGGCGTCGGCTCATTCACCAAGAACGCACTACCAAAATAGTGAATTGTAACACTATACCAAATGCTACTAGACTTCCTGTGACATCTCGGAGTTGCAGAATTTCACAAATCCTCGTGTCATTTCTCTTTTTAAGGCAAAAGAAAGTGGACAAATTGGAAAAGAATAATTAGGAAAAACATTTGTCGAATATCAGCCGGAAGTACCGCAATTAAAACAAAATAAATATAAACAATTAACAACATTAGAAGCTATAAAAAAGCAAAATGCTGAGTCCTGAGCTTTGACTACATCTTCCTAACAGCGTGAAACCGGATATTATTGCAGGTGGTGAGAAGTAATTTTTTTTTATCAGTCTTAAACGTTCTGGCATAAAAAAGTGAAAAGAAGAGTTGGACTCAGAAGAGGTCTTTTGAGGACGAAGTGAATTTCGTTCTGTTACTACGCTTTGGGACTGTAGCAGGCGCAAAGGTGAGTTCATGTTTTATACGACGTTGGTGCTGAAACATTAACAGAAGTGTCAAGCCTATTAAGAAGTCGCTACATTTTAGTGGATTTCTTTCTAACTTCTAATCAGTCCTTGAAAACGAAGGAACGCTCTTCCCCGAATATTCGATATTTGATTCTACACCAGTCCTGAACAGAAGGGTGGACCATGAATTGCTGGACGACAGCACGGATCTTCATTATGTCAGCTCTAATCTGCTCGACGACTGCTGAAACCAAAGGTATTGCGTATTAATTTTCAAGTAGCTGTACCATTTAATTTCTGTAACTGGTTAAGTTATTTCACAATCCATCAGGAGTTCAATCACAAAGGTTTGCAAAAATAAAATGCGAATATTATCACTTCTTTTAGCCCAATAATTTATGTAGTTCAAGAAATTGCAAATATCACTATATTACATCTTTCTGGATTTTCCAAATAATTATTTTTGTAGGCAAAAACAATATTTTTGTGTAAACTAGAAGCCCGGCTCATTAACAAAATTCAGAGTTCAAATCAGTGTACCCTTTGTTTTTTTGTTGACAGTCATGAACAATAATTTTGACTATGGCCTTAGTCATTGAGCGATTTGTTTCGCGAAATGAAGCTCCGAGGAAAGCGATTAGTCGAAGAAGAATATTTAGTAAACAGTGGCAGACGGTTTGTATAGACAGATCTTGATGGGGGGTTGACGTGAAGGTTAGAAAGAAAAGAAAACGAAGCGGGCATTGCAACTTTTGTTATAGGGCTGTATCAAGACCGACATCTATTAGATCATCCGTAGTTTACTTACACCGGCATTCATAAGACGCGAAAAGCCACGACATTATGCGAAAGTGTCAATTTTGCTTAACGTTATAAATATTGTCATACATGTAATGTCAAGTTTTAAATGATATGTATGCATAATTAAAACTTCAACGCATGACGGTTTGCGGCCTTACATCAATAAAATGATCTACTTTCAAAATTGAAAATTGGAGCGTTACAAAATAAAACAATTAATTTCAGCGTCCAAGAACGTTTCTCTTTAACTTTTCGAATGACTGCGTGCCACGATGAATTTACTTGATGCTATAAATTCGGCCGTGTATATTGTATAGCAGGAGTATCCAGGCTGACCCGTCCTAAGAGTCGCAAACAGAACCACGGAACTTCTAAGAGGCCCGGGGGGGGGGGGGGGGGGGGGGTCAAATTTTTGTCGACAGCAATGAACGAAACTCGAACTACTTTCAATCTATCCGAGTCAAAAGCAGTCCAACTGTACACGAGGTAGCAGTAGCACAAGACAACCAATCCGCAGCCTGTCTTTCGATTTAAAACACGTTCCATTTTTCTTTTTGGGGAAGCGCTCGTGTGACCGGGAGGGAGGCGGGGGAGAGGGGGGGGGATTAGGGATGGAGCCGCCTTCCGCACTTTAACACGCGAAGAGCCGCAGCTTGGCCACCCCTGTTGTATAGCAACCAAAATACTTACCGATGCGCAACGGAGCCACGACGATGATGAGTGATACCAACACGGGAATCGGTTATTCGCAGAGCGAGGTGAAATGGCTAAACGGGATTGGGAAGTAAAACTGTAGTTGAAAAATGGCCGGATGAATCCGTAGCTCATGAAATAGCGCCAGAGTCGTCAAAGATGGGCGATCGCATCGTAGCGTTACACTTGGCCGTCAATGTGCATGGCGTCAGGCTACAGAATGTCAAAATATAGTTTGGCCAAACTAAATATTATATTTTCTAATGATGTACTTTTCTTAATATCGCCGCTGTTAAAAGTTACAGCTTTGTGCTCATTATCAAGACAAAAACTTGTACACTACTACATTACAGGTTTGATTGCTGTGTTTACTAAGGCGAGAAAATATAAGAAATGATGTCGGCTAACATTTCTTGGGCAAGCTAGCATAAATCATGAATGCTGTATATCTCCTTATTTCTACTCGTAAAAAAAATGACGACAACTACAACAACGTGTATTGTACATTCTAAACTTCCGTGGCGTAATAGTGCGACTGAAAGCTGGTACTTGGTCATATTCAAATGCATTGGGTGTGAATGAAACCTACAAAATTAGTTGTAGATTTAATCCTGAGTCATGTCAAGCTCGAAGCTAATGTCCTCTGATAGGTTCGCTGCCCCTGGCGATTATCCCAATTCTGCAGAAGTATAATCTATCCACATGCCACTACAGGATGCTTACAAAAAAGCTAAAATATTTAGAGACCTTATGAACGGCTAAAAGTGACACCGGACGTTTCGACAAAGACAGTTTCTTAATGCCCCTCGAGAAGCTAAGTTTCTTGTTTCAACTTCTGCTACGACTCGTAAAGTTCCATAGAATCAATCTGCTTTTTTCCTTGTTACTCTAGACCTATGGTGTCTAAATAAAAACCGATTCCATTCATTTAGGGTTCTTTAGAGATGTTCTACTTGATTTTACCACGTCCGTGCGTTGCTTAAACAATAAAAAGAAAAGACTTACATCACTATAGCCATTCAAACTACGGCTGCGCAATTGATTTATTAACCTTCCGATTAATTTGATAATACTTTGATCCCAATTATTTTTCACTGGTTAAAGGGTTGGGTTCCGAGTATAAAATTTCGTAAACAAATTAAAAAAAGACCTGTTATTATTTTACGAGTTAGCACTGTTTTGTTCCAGGATAAAGCTATTTAGCATTTTCTATGACCTAAATTTAGAAATAATATAAAGTTAAAATATTAGCTTAAAATATTTATTGAAATCCAGTGGAGGGTTATTGCGAAGAAGGCGCCGTGTGACCAGGATTTCGATTGGATGGCAAATGATTCAAGATAGTCGAAATTAATCTTTAATCCTATGCTAAGACATGCCAGATGCACCCCCCCCCCCCCCTCTTCCTCACCCTGCCCCACCCCCACCCCCAATTTGCCTTTGCTACTCGGTGGGTGGAGAGTTTCGAATAAGATAAATGAGGTACGCCACTCATAATATAGCAAGGAACAGTGAAAGAAATTAGTTTTGCCACTTTTTAGATAATATGCCTGAAGATCAATATTGCAATCTATGCCCAGTCCTAATTCCAACACGTCTGCATTTCCTTTCACATTTTAAACATTTGTAACAATGGCACAGGTGCTTTGGTGGTTTGCAATTTAAAGTGATGCTTCTGCGTCCAAGGACACAAAGGTCTGCAAAGCAAATCCGCAAGAGAGCTAGTTTGGCTGGTTTTAAAGTTTATTTGCTTGACAACCACTTATATTCATTATCTTATTTTCTATCATAATCAAAGTGTTACGATGATGACGATCCCTACGAGTTTAGATTTATTCAGGACCCTTGACGGTCATGAGATCACGTGTGGAGCTACGCTTTTAAAAGCCAGTTTCGCGCCGCAAACAATCGCCCCATACCGCAAGCTCAACCTAGTCGTCCTTTGTCCAGCTTCATACGCTTCAGTTTGCGTTCTATTACTGCCAAGCTCAGATGTGGGTTGACGATCACTCGGTGCGGGGTGCCATTTCCGCTGCGCCGCATGGTAAATGACGGCAATTATGAAGTATAAATAATTACAAATATGTATGCTTCTATATGTTTTTTTTGTGCTTGTATGCCTCGCCTTCATGTTGACTAGGTGTAACAGCCTTACACTTGAGTGTAGCGCTTTTTGAATGACATACACCCTGTAAACACGTTCTGTGTTCTTCACATAAATAGCTCAAGCGCTTACTTTAGAGGCGACAAATAAGTGGAGGTGTCTTTGTTTTGCATCGCTATTTTTTATAACTCATTTTTTGGTGTCATGAGGTCGGAAACGAGTGTTTCCACGTGGGCGCTACAAATAATTTATGCGTCAGAAGTAATATCGAGAACACGCCAGCCGAAACTGAGGGGAAGATAAAATTATGCCAGAAATATTATTGTACTATTTTCCTAGTGCACACCAAGGCAATCAACGTAGAGTCATTGGTGACACACTAAACTTTGATAATGATTATCCACCAATATAAAAAAAAAATATTTATGAATTTCCAACGTATACTCTGCTTAGCCATAAGTGCGAAAGGAGAGGCTGCAAGAGAGAGTGAAATGTTTTGAGCGGACGTGATGTGCGGGCACGCTCACGAACTGAAAAAAGTCGTTCGTAACAACTTACTTGTGCTCAGCCTCAGTTTCGCTTACCCTTGTGGTGAAACAGAGTGTGTTGGGTGCTTTGTGGTTTCGCATGGCGATAAAACAAATTTCCCAGGAACATGTAACCTACATTAACTAACACATTTTTTTCACCTTCCAATGGTACTGGAAAAATTGGCTAAAAAGCAAAACTGGTTGGCTTCCTTCTTCCAGGAGAGGACGATGTCTGCAAGACCGCTGACTGTATGAGACTGGGTACGAACGCACTTGATTAGTGAACGGATGCTCTTATCAGATCTCTGGGATAATAATCGTATTTAAAATTTCTACAGGTTTAGAGCTTAGTGGTGCTATTAACGCATCAGCAGATCCATGTGATGATTTCTATGACTACGTGTGCAAAAAGTGGAAGAATAAGACCCGAATTCCGCCTTATTTGCCTAGCTATGGACACCTGTGGTTGATACGGGATGAAGTGGCCAAGAAGATTAATAGTAATTAACATTTTTAACACACATATATCGTGAGTGATCAAACTGGAAAAGCAATTACGTCAATTTTATACATAGAAAGTTCCACAGAGTTTTCACAATTAATGTCACAGATAAGGAATGCAGGATGCGGAGAAACCGGTAATTATTCTCAGCATTGGTGAACTTTCAAATGATAATATTAATCTTTAAATGTTTGGAACTTAGGCATGTCTTTATTTACGTCATGTCGCAAACCTTCTAAGAATATTTTTTTCTCATAATTATAGTTTGTATATGTTTTCATTAATAGTCCCAGACCGACATAAAACGTGCAGACGCGTTTATAAAACAAAATGGTCTTTCGAATTAAAGAAAGATTCATTGGGTGATCCTCAAGCCGGGGTCACACTACTGATACATCATAGAGACGACGCTCTGCAAACTTTAGTCACCGCAATATTCATGGTTGGAATACCGTGTGCCAAGTTTTCTCCTTGAACTCATTGTCATGCACCATTCGAAGCACGGATCTCGTGGTCGCTCGTAACTGAATCTGTTCGCAGAAGGCTGTCTTTTGTATGATATATAAGCGGTGTAACCCCGGCTTTCGGAAATGCGTAAGCATGACCATTGGGAAACGCCTCACACGTCCCCTTTTCAGAAGCGCTAGCGCGAATTCCATCACTTTTCTCTTTTGACTTTCTCTGTTCCTTCCTCATAATTTTTCTTCTTCTTTTTGACTCCGTTCCCGAATCAGTGTTAGCGTTTCCCAAAGGGTGACAGTGCGTGGCACTTCCCTAGGCTCATACTAATGCATTCCCTAAAGGCCACGTCGCACTGAAGCAACAGTTGGACAAGCCTATCCGGCAACACGACAAAATCGTGTTGCCGACGACTCTCTCACGTAGTGGCAACAGCAACAGTCGGGCAACATGCTGCTGCCGCCTGACAACCGTGTTGGCCGATTTGTTGGCTGATCACCCTGTCGCATCGCGCTGACGGCGGGGACAACATGGGGAACACTCCGCTACCTTGATCGTTTACCTTCGTCCGTGTGAGACACGGAATCACTAGAAATGTGGGTCTACAAAGTGTTAGTGCGTTCGGTTGGCCGGAAATTACCGCAATACGACGTCATCCAGTGACTGTGACTAGAAAACTTGACGCGGGAACTATTTTTCGCGGTTTATTTGATCAAAATGTACTTCATTCGCTGACAAAGCAGATAGCCCTAACCGAGGAAAATGAGATCGCTGATATATGTTCGGGATTTACACCACCGTATGAAGTGTTTCTGTCCGGTTCTTTCTGTCTGCAATACCTATTTCTACTGTAAAATTGAGTTAGTACCGGCAGTACTCAAAAGCGTCTTCTGTAGCGTGGTGTTGAGATGAACGGACAGTGCTTCAAAACGGCGACACCGAAACGATAGGCCTTCATAACAATCGGTGGAGTAACTATTTGTCAACGCCTTTCATCCGCCTATCGCCTGCTATGTGATCGCCTCATTCCCCAAAACGTCCGGGGCATTTTTTTTAAAACAAATCAGGTGTCAGGTAGCTGATGTTTCTAAGCTCCAAGCATTAACAATCATAGTCAAAATGGTCATTTCAATGCATCAACTTTTTAATATTTTCTTTTATGGATTATTTTTTTTTATATTTTACCAACGGGTGAGTAGACATACCATTTTATTTTACTAGCAGTAATGTGAGCTGGTCTCTCGGCGGTTCTAATTTCAACACCCGTCTGTACGTTCACTACCATAGCTGTGTCGATTTCGACCATCGATTTCCGTAATCACGCAGTACCAAACCTTCATAAATTTATTTTAGTTGCATTTCAGCCTTAATTATTGTTAAATAACGTTTTTCAAGAATTTATTTGAGTAAGACGTTATTGATAGGGGACTAGCTCTGCCATCAAAGCTATCTGAGTTGTGTTGCCGGCCCGAAATTCGCTCAGCCAGCGATTAGGGCAACACACGTTTCCAACGCAAGTTGCTGCTGTTTTTGTTGCCGAAACCTGTCATACCGAGGCAACACTTTCGTTGTCGTCCATGTTGTGCTGCTGCTGCCGCGAATGTGACAGGTTTTCCGGACAACACGGGGAGCGAGCAACAAGTTGCCCGACTGTTGGACAACGTTTTGTGTTGTTGTTGCCGTCATTTTGCCTCAGTCTGACAGGGTCTTAAAGATCCACTTATGGAACTTCCTTTTCATTTTTCTGGCGAAGTGGGCTCGCCGAGCCCGCTTCGCCCCAGCCTTTGTCGCACGCAGACCCGCGTCGGTTTGCCGCTTCTTGCGCCGCATTTCCACCAGCCGAGCTAGGCGCTGCTTGCACTCTATCTCGGTCGCCCGTATTCCACTCTTAGCTGCGGCATCCGCTGCCTCAAGCTGCTTTCGCTGTTCATCGGTTTCTCGCGCGCGCATTAGCTTCCGCCCTGTGACGTCACCTTCCCCATTGTCCTTCACTACTCCACTCCTCTCAACGCGGCTCGCTTCTCTTTCCACTGGTTTGTCCGCAGACGGACGCTTTCAGCTTTTCCCTTTCATGTAGGTACTAATGCACCCTCCAGCTGTTTTTGCAACACATAAATACACAACGTATGAAATATGACTGAAACTATGCCGCTGATATTTGGGGACAAACGATGCAGCTTTAATAAAAAAGTTATAAGCAATCGACAAAAAAGTTCTTGTCAAAAAACAGCGTTCTGTGTTGGCGACAAACAAGCCGTGTACTTTGAGATTGTTGCAACTTATAAACAGCGCCATCTCACAGAGTTTAAATTCTTTTTTCGTCTTTACGAGGGTTTTCTTGCCAGGATGAACTGCTACATTTCGTTTTCAATAAACCGCGTAGCAAAGACAATAGACCAGCAAAGGGTACGTTTCGGAACCACAGGACGAAAGCCATTTCTTTTTCAGTTTGTAGAACTTTTTATCATTCCCTTCACGACCTCAGGCATTAGGTGGCAACTTTCCTACCTATATAGCACATCTCATATTGCACTTCTCATGACATTTGCCTTTCTCTATATACCTCAAAACCCGCAAATACGAAATTATATTTGTTGGATGATAATCTTTAGAACAGTCGATATTGATTCAGATAGCAATTAGTTTGAAACCTTCATTGGCGTCATCATCACGGGTGCATGTTTGCGTTGCGAGGAATCTTTATACGTATATTTAACGTGCATTATAATTTATTTTAGCCGCGAACCACGTAGCTGACTAAATAATTGTATGAATATGAGAATCAAATTTGCAAAATTTCAGTTAATTTCGCGCACGAATCTACACCACTAGCACGCCTTCGTTTTGTCTTGTTTATTATTTCTATTTATCCTTTAGTATACAAACGGTACCGGATCGTTAGATAGCAGGAGGCATGGCTAACAATGCTCGGTCAGTAATGATGCCACTTTTAGACCTATTACTTAATTACCAAAGCATCAAGGAGAATGCAGGGATTGGTGTTCCACACGCCACACGCGCACGCCTTCCTCGAACAAAAATTTGAAGTAAATAACCAAAATAACGCGTTGACGAACGCGCGTGCAAGATGCAATTTGTTTTAGGCATTTGCTTTAGAAAAGTAACTACTCCTGAGGCCAACACGTGTGGCGTGTTAAACACCAATCCCTACACTCTTCTTGATGCTTGGGTAACTTACACTCGTGCCACACGGGCAACTCGAATGCCATTTACAACGAATCACATTTGTGTGATCGGCAAATCAGCTCGCAATCTGTCGCGCGTGGAATGCGCTACGCCCGGAGTTTCGCGCGCTGATTGGCCGTCCGCTCAAATGTCATTCGTTGTAAATGGCATTCGAGTTGCCCGTGCGTCACGGGTATTAGTAATAGGTATATTCTCGTTTCAATCGCTGCCGCTGTTCATTTCAATAGACCTTTCCGGAAAATCCAAGGAGACCTTGCAGCAAGGCAGTTTGGATGTGCGCCGTTAGGAGCTGAGAAGACACGCAAAAATTAGGCGAACGAAAAAGAAGGTTGTCACCCATACTCTGTTCTGCTTTCCGTCCGCCTTCTCTGTGTTCTGAAAGGACAAACTGTTTAAGCAACGTCAACTTCGTCTTCGCTTCTTGGGTAATTTCACGTGCCGCAAATCTGAGCGTCGCACTGCGTAAAGCAGACGCTGGGGGCACCACATATTTCCGGAAAGGTCTATTTGTGATAAGCATCATGCCTACGTGCGTTCGTGTAATGCTACTGCTTCATGCACAGTAAGAACCATATGTTATACGTGATATATAAAAGTTATGTCATCTGAAAAAAACCAGATTACCTGCGTCATAAAACAAATGGTACATTTGAACGTTAATTTCTACCTACGAACTAGCTGTCCGATGTCACAAGAAAACAATTCGCTGATAGCATACGTTTAAAAGAACAGCGGTGATAGCAACCTCAAAAGCGTCATGACTGTGCACTGTGGTATCAATTAATCTTTATTTGAGTCGCAGTGCCATGTCTTCATTAATGGCCTTTGAAACTGGCTAGATTAATGTTGTTTGTCGACAAAATCATTCATCCGTTTACGTTGCCTAATTTTGAATCTTAGTAAAATGGATGGTGATTAACAAACTAAACAAGAGAGCGGAAGCGAGCTGGTGAATATTAGTCAAGGCACAAGCCTGGAGACTGTGGGTAGAAACGACACATACACTGGAAGGTCTCAAACGCAGCTTTGTCTAGCGTATATGTCGTATTACAGTCTCGGGGTTTTCGTCATGCTCAAGTTGATCAATTTATTTTCTCTAAAAGGAGGGAGAGGGGGGGGGGGAGAGTGGTGAGTCGCGTGGGATCAAGGTATGATAAAGAAGTTCCGACGTTTGGACGGCCTTCTGGGCAGCGTCTCGCGTCGTTTACAGCCACAGCAGGCTCTTGCAATCTGATGTTCATTAAGGGGAGCTTCGCGCAGTAGTATTTACATTTCGTCCTAAATAAAGTCCACCGGCATTCGACAAGCCCATATGACGGCATATCATTGAGG